AGGAAAAAAAGTAATTTCTGACCGGAAACTGTAAATAGTTATCAGGTAAAGATGAGAAAAAACTTGATCAGTGTTGGTTTTTAATGTTTCAGGTTCAGCTACTAAGTTAAACCAAGTCAAATAGCGGCATCCAATACCTTTTGTCTTATTGTTAAAATGGTTACCTCATTGTTTTTGATAAGTTCAATCTATCTATTATGGTCTACCTTGTTGTCAGAATGTGTCACTGTTTGCCAGTGGCATCAAAGTAGGAAGTTGGAATCATTTGTGCGGTTTATTAGACTCCAGACAAATGCGTCCTGATCAGAGAAGCCGAAATCTGTTTCCATCGTCTGTCGACTCAGTTTCGTGATAAATCTACCGATCATTATCAATTGCAACGAAACGGAGAATGAACACATGCAAACCAAATCACGAGAGCAATTAAGTTTCCTTGGTTAAATCCCAAACATGGAACTGTTTCGAAGTCCATGAACGGATGACGATTGAAGCTAAGCCCTAATCTTTCGCCGTTTTTTGGAAACCATCTGTCATTCGTCATAGACATTTTGGTAAATTGGCATGATTCTCAAATGACAAAAGGCTTATTTGTAGATGTCTACTCTTGCATTGTGTTCGGTGGTACTATTTAGATGAATATAAGTTCTCCGGACAACAAACAGTAGAGCATCGATATATTTATAAGAATCACGTTCTAAGCAAAGACGCCTATTTTTTGTCTATAATTATCGGGCAAAGCGTATGCTTGACGCAGTAGGGTTTTGACTTCGCCCATTTTGTGGCAGATTTTTTTCGAGTAATCAGCTCAAGAAAATAAACCCCGTTAAACGTCGATGTTTCTTTCTAGATTCTTTAAATATGTTTCATTGCAAGCAATTCTAAATTTCCATTAATTTCTAAATCTGCTCAAATTCTGCCAATATTTATGGATTTTGTTCTAAACAGACTTCTGTATGTGATGTCGAACAAGCAGTATCATTATAATTAATCAATCAATCCTTTTTAACCTGTGAGATCTCGCACCTTCTGGAAACCGGAAACATTACTGAAATTCATTGGTTCGGACCATTGTTTACGAGGAAGTGACTAGTCACGTGACTTGGTTCAAAATTTAATTTAAACTGACAGTCAATTAGTTACTCCTGTGTTGAACAACCTGGGGGGCTTGAATGATGCTGTCCAAGAGCGTTTATTCTGGTTTACTACATATATTATTCAGTTAAACTACACCACACACAAATTATTCATCTATTATCACTTTAACGTATTCACACGGCTAAATAGAGCAAACAAAATTATGAGATTTTCTCCTTGCTGTTGAAGTTGTCCAGTTCTAGTATGTGAAATTACGCACCTGTCGAGTTCGAGGAGTAAGGGATCTTGAGAATTGGCTTTGGCAGTTATGATTTTACTTTGGATGCCAAATAGCAAACAAGTCAAAGCTTGATCCCTTCATTTATCAAATCCCAAACTTTCTAGCTAACATCAGTAATTCCTAAGAGCACAAATACAGTTTGCTGACGGGATGCTCCGCCATATGTATATCTATCATTCGTTTTCCTCTGTATCAAGATTAATAATTTCAGAGTGAATAGTTTTCTTCTGTTGAAGTGATATTGTAACCAATTCCTAACCATAGAACAGTCAGGAAATTTGCCATTTGTGAGTTGACAATGCAATCTAATCGGATCGCATTCCATTATGATGATAAAAATGAAATTGATGAAAATCAACACTTATAATACATTGCTGTACGTGTTTCCATGGCGAGATTTTCACTCTTTAAGACTAGCAGACTAAATTAATTTACAAAACAAAGCCTGGTAAGTATGTGACAAGTGTCCGTAACCAGCATGGAAGTCCTAACTTGGTGGGAGGCTTTCGATTGGAGGTAACAGTGCGTCATCTGTGTCTCCATTCTTTGCTATCCGGCCAAATGAACTGACTGACTATCACCGAAGATAGCACGTGAACAAAGCATGAGTTGGCAATTTGGTTCAGCCATGGCATGAGCTGGTTGGCACAGTGGTACCACGTACGCCTTCCATGCAGTGGGTCCGGAGTTCAAATCCCGGACAGGACAGGATATGCAATACTGATGAGCTCTAATAGGAGTGAAACTCGAGTCTAGTGCTTCCGAGTGTATGGTTGAATCGATGAACCGAGGATTGTGCGTGAAGGTGAAGTCTGAAAGAAAGTCAGTCAAATTAATCAATAAATTAATTCAGTATTCTACGTGATGTAAGCTTAAGCATGAAGCTTTGACACTATTTTTGCCTTTTCCTAACATTTTCTCCAGGGTGGGTAAGTTTGATGATACTTTCCTGATTCGTGTTCGAATATAAAACGCCACAGTACCATCTCAATCGGAAATCAATAAATGTAGCTATGAGACCATACACTGACCGTTTTGACTGAGATAAATGACAAGTGTTAAAATAGGTCTGTCGTGCTAGTACTATGGGGTTCTCAGTCCGATACCATTTACTTCATGTACAGCAGATAATTGCGACGTTATGAAGCAATAAACAATTTGCCTGAGAAACGAGGTATAGATGTGGATAGTGTGCATCGCGGTGTTCTTCACTCACGCACACGAAGTAGTCAATTGTGACAGAAAACTTGCAGTATTATAATTCTGAGCAACTCATGTGCACGGAAACGCGAAATTTTAAGCAAACGAGCTCTGTCCAAAGGGTTAAAGTGACACTGTCTGAAAGCACATATACCAGAACATTTTGCACCTTCCAACAATAAATTTTTGACCTCCGAATTCGTGAATGAATTGCAAATGTGATTTGTTGCACCAATTAGTCCGAAATTAATAGTTTCCAACAAGCTCGTTCAGAGTTAGTAATAATCATGTCATAGCATTAAATATTTTTATCTATGACAAAGGGGAAAGTATGGGTTAGCTATTACTGGACTGATCAACATGTATTTGTCATCTAAAACGATCCCCGATTGTTAGAAGTCAGTCAGAATAAGAACGATCTCGTCAAAGAACCGTCCCGTTGCTTGCACCTCTACGTTCCTGGATGCTTTGAAAACGTTGCGATTCACCGAATGATACCCTGGTGAGGCATGCATCATCCGCTCCAGTTTGCCTGCAAATTAAGTCTGTTCACACTTAGATGATGTTACCCATATTGTGCATTAAGTTATATCCGTCAAAGATGATGATGCATGCATGTACTACTCGTGTGATGTTCTCCATTATCTAAACATTTTGTGGGTTCCCTTGACCGTGGACTTCTTAGTCAACATATGTTTGGATGTGACGTGGAACCAAAAATGTTAAATGTTTCTACCAGCTCTATCTTTCCCGTCAGAAATAATTCACTTTACATAATGGTATGGAGTATTTCAGTGAAAACCACCTGATTGTGGTAATGTTTATGCTGCCCCAGTCCTCGCTCTTTATACACACAGAATATAACTAGCCCTTTTGAAATTAATTACCCGCAAGTTAGATGGCGATGCGGTGATTGGTTGCTAATCTGCCGGTCTGAATAGTTTCCGCCTCTCCCAAGACAGTCTCAACAAATTTTATGATTGGTCCTTGCCTCACTCGATCCAAAGAGTGTAAAGTCAACATAAACGATTGATGCTCGTTTCAGTCTCAAGAGTGACCTCTTTTATTGTGCGTCGTTAAATAGTCTCCCTGACTGCTGTAACTAGTAAGAGCATTCCCAAATCTGACCCTGCGAAATACCTTGGAGTCATTATCTTCTCCATAACGTTCCCTGGCCTACTCGATTTGAAAATGTCTTCACAATGGTCTGCAGTCTGACGTTTTGCCCATACCGGATAAGGAAGCTGACGTTAGCACAAAATTTATTCTATACATGTGTAATCGGTTACACGGTTCCAACTTGATCATACGCTCTACTTTATTTCTTATTAGTTTAAAAGCAAAGGTATAGACATTGTTTTCCAGGAAGCGGAAAGTTTTGTCTCGATATAGCGACATTGCTATCATGTGTTTGTTTCTATACCGTTCAATGTATGTCGTGGGTTCATTGATATAACTACTGTCCAAATCACGAACTCATGAAATATTTGTGCGTGTGTGTGTGTGCGGCTTTCAATCCGCGAATACCCTCCGAATTCCCCATCAACCTTGTATGTATACCTACATATATAGCAACGATTTTATTTTGCAGTTTGCCTGTCAATTAGCTTTTCCTAAACCAATCGTCATTAACCTTAAGAACAAAACAAACTCAAATTTATTTCCACTTTTTTATGCTTATATCAATACATATCTACCGTGTAACTTTGTAATCCGCTACCAATTCAATCTTAGGCTGCATGGTGCTTCTCGACCTGTTTTGTCTAATTTATCAAATAACCATAATTTTTTGATGCCACATATTAACCCACTGGGAATTAATGCAACCGAATCAATCACATGGTGTATTTACAACTATCTATTTATTCGTTTTTTTCCCCAGTCCAATTTCGGCTGATCATCTATCATGGCGTGTAAATCAGCTATTCCCCAAATCAAACAAACCTCAGATCTCTTCCTACCTTATCCGAATCATTTATCACTCTAACAAGGAGTATTTAGATTCCTCGTGCATTCAATCGTATTAGTAAAGCACACACCGCCCTAACAGATAGATGATGCACACAAAAAATCGTACGATAAAAGACGCAATCAGTTGATCGAGAACCGAAATCTCGTTCACAGAATTGAAACAGAGAAGACGTCGGAATTGCAAGCATCTCTTGAACGAACAGTATACCAATGGTGATATGGTCATTCTTACCTTTTTTAGGGGGAAAAATCAAATTCCATTTGGTTCTCAACAGCGCTATCAATGAAAAACAGATCGGTTACTAGGACCTCAATAACCACAATTCCTGTTTGTTTCTTCTCCTACACCTCCCTCGGTCCCAATCACTATCACTTCACCCTCATTTTTGGATACACAGAATGTGAGTGTAATCTGCATTCGGACGAATGCCGATTTTCCAACTCTCTGTACCTCATGTCCAACCGAGTGAGCGGTGGAATATGTGAAAATTGTCGACACAATACGGCCGGGAGAAATTGTCAACATTGTGCCGAGGGATTCTATCGGGACTGGACCAAACCAATCAGTCACGAGAGTGTCTGTCTACGTGAGTCATCTATACACCCCCACCCCGCATTTGAACCAATTTGTCAACCATTTGTTTACACCCGGTATCCCGTTGACTAAGCATGAGTGCCCTTGTCAGCTTGCTGGCTCTCCCGTGTGGATTTGTTTTTGTTCGTTTCTTGGGCAAAAGTGCGAACTGTCAGCAAACATGATGACTGTGAGAACTGAATTTTCACTGGACAAGTCGTACGAAACAGAAGTTGGAGATGTCGAACAGTATGGGAGCATGGTTCTGTTTTCTTACACAATAGGAACTAAATCCCCAAAGCAGAAAGCCAACCAGCCTCAAGCTGCACTTGAAGATGATTGGCAAATACATAAAAAAGGAGCTGCATACGAATTGGTGACATTATCTTCACGAAAAATCCTTGTTGGGAAAGCGCATGAGGAAGTAAAGAACGCCTACCATGACAGTATATTTGCTAAGAACTTTTATTATAGTTCGCATAGCTAGCTAGCTGGCGATTCTGAGGATCACACAATGACAAACACGTAGCGCAAAGATGCACACCACAGACACCCATGTCCAATCTGAGCATTCAGATTTTGATGTCACTAAGTTTCAGGATATTAAAAATATTTCTGATTTACTAGGGTGCAAGTGAGTAAAGAAATTGTGTATATGAATTTGTTTGTTGGATCTTTTGGAACTTAACCTCCCCAGTTATGGTTCTCCCGGAGACACTGTTTGATAAAAAAATGTGCCAAAGCGAGCTGGAAAATCAATTCATTTGAATGAATCGTTAATAACCTCTAATTCTCTTGTTCTTCTTTTTTTCAATGGTCCTTTCTTATACTCTAGCTTGTCGATGTCATCCGATCGGGTCGTTGGTGCGCCACGAATGTGACCGTCGAAGTGGTCAGTGCCGGTGTAAACAAGGCGTGACTGGTATGACATGCGATCGATGTCAGGAAAATTATCGTCAGACGCGTTCCCCGACGAACCCCTGCACAAAAGGTGAGATACAAATTGCATGATAATCGATCATTGATAATCGAAACACAATTGAGCTTTTATAGAATCAGTTTGTGAATTTCCCAAAATGGAACAGTTAACGTTTAGGTTCCACTGAAAACAAAATAGTCAAACTGTCCAAGGTTTATTCAAGTTGATCTGGGGTTATGGAAAACTTTTACTCAAAAAATTATTCAAAAATAGGAATGACGCCATATGAATGATGCCATATATATATAATATGGCATCAAGACCACACATTATTTGTAGAATACTATCCACAGATTTGTGGATGAAGTTCTTTAAACGCGCCCTTCGAGGCATAGAATTTCAACCCCGAAAAAGTGTTTCTTGGTCTGATTGATTTTAGACTCACTCACTGGAAACACTTGACATGTCATTCTTCCCTTTTATTTATTGTATATAAAACCGACATTCAATTTTCAGGAAGGGAGTTGTGTTCAAAATAATTATATCATGGTAAAGGATAGAAATGTGGAAGATTGGCGGTGCTAGAGGATTGTGTGTAAACTCGGGACCCCGGATCTTCGTTTACATGACCACTAGATCACCGCCTGCTTTAGGAATAGTAATAAATGTACAACTAATCCAAGTCAACATCGAATTCACAACATCACATGAAGCATAGACTGAGTTTATCCAGGTCAAACTTAAGAGTTGTGCCGATTTTAACCATGCGTTTTACGTTCTGTGCGTTGACAGGCCCATTGTCGGTGAATCGGTTTACTGTCAATGACCTAATCTATATTTGAAGCCTTCGGTACTATCATGGTATTACTGAACTTCATAGAGGCGCTCGGGTACGATGTAGGAAACAATAGAACGATCTCTTGACTATTTGCTCTGAAATACTTTATTTATTATATCTGGATGCAATCGTTTTCAGTAGGCTAATGAATGAATCGACGGCGTATATATATATATATAACCATAAACAGCACTTTAATTTTAAAATACAATGATATGGCAGTATGGCCTGCGATCCACAGTAATGCTTCGAAGTAACTATTGGACTTTCACAGGTTTGTAGTAATAAAACCGTGTTTGACAATGTTCACTTTAACCACTTCACTTTAACGCAGTCATACGTCACCGATGCTTACTGTTCACAAGCGACTGGGACAACAAGTTGTCTGTAGCACACCATAATGCAAATAAAATCCCTTCAATTCTTTCACTATCTGTAACTCACGTTCACTTGTAATGAAACCCTCAAAGTTCACCATAGGGTATTCAAGCTTGAGAATGTACAGGCTTAATCAGTTACTTAACATTTCGGTTTAAAAGCCACGATTGTACCGAATGTGACGTTCGTAAAGAAGGCTTATTTTGCTGACAGACAGGGTTCAGCATCAGTTTCTGAAACCAAAGGAGTAAGGAATTCCCAAATACTTTATGCACGAANNNNCGAAGTCGAAGTTTGATCATCGCCCAGAATAAGCAATTCTGTCTTCTCCTTTGATGAGAAGGCAGCTCACTAAAAACAAAACACCGTCGACAGCCTTGGAACTGAGGTGTTTCTATCCGCTGCGTTACGCCGTTCAGAGTTACGTAAAATACAATTTATTTCGCCGCTGAAGACCACTCTGTTTCCTTGGTCAGTTCAAATGAACTTCCATTCTGCTTATCTGAAGCATTCATGAATATCGTTTGTTGTTAATCATGCGTGTCTGTTCAGCTACCATTGCGGCGGTTGTGGCGTGCATCAGAACATTTATGATATCCTATTGGGAAAGATTTTCAGATTATCGGGTGTCAATTTCCGTTTTTCTGTAGTTGTGCTATGATTTGGATCAAATCTTAGCAAGTGTGGATATGTACGTTTTGATATTAGGGAACTTCTTTCTTTGTAATCGAATCCTTCTTTGACAATCCGTATTGGCAGTAACTTGTTCACCACTGACTTGCAAGTGCCCACTCATCTCGCTACCACTCCCGCCTGATGATCTAAATTTCGCCTCAAAGAAAAATCTTACCTAGTTGAAAGTTTGTTAACAGTTTCACACATTGTCCATAGGTGTATGAACTTTTATGGCCTACGGGGTCCTATCACATCTGCATCTGATCAAACCATATTCGACTGAATAAAGAGTACAATGAAGCCCAGTTGGCCAAAGTATGATGCTGAACCCGTCTACATTGTCCGTTTGTGCTAGAGGCTGTTTCGAAAGCAGTTGTCTCAAAGTAACCATCAAGTATTTGGCATCCACTAGTGACTTATTGGCTTTCATTCCCTGTCCACCAGAATAACTCCTTTAAATTGTTTTCCCTTAGCTTGATGAAGGGGAGCAAGATCCCTATTAGCAAATGCCATTAACCTCGCCCTGATTTTTCAAAATTTCTCAGTAACCAAACGACCGAAACTGATCGAATTTGGTGTGTGAATGATATACCTGTTACGGATAGGTTTGGTAAACCGATTTATCCTGGAAAATGTGCCCCTGAAGGTGCAAAATGCTATTAACACCCACCATCCCATGGAAATGGTCAAAATATCCAACTAGTTGCAAATCATGCCGACTGATATTCTCAACGGATAAAATACAGTGCTTAGGCGTACTCCCGATCGGGTTTTGGGTTATCTAAAATGCGAACATGTTCCACACACAAAGAATAAATGTCTTTAACTGGGGGAGTATATGAAATTTCTTTCCATGTGTGTTAACTGACCTCGTCAACAGATTCCAAACCTTTCCAAGTGGGTTAAAATCCAGGCTGTGCACTTTTCAGTCCATGTTCTTGATGTTCCAGTGCCCCCAAACACAATCTAGTTAAGTGGGCTCTGTGCATCGAGACATTCTCGGTCCCAAGAGGTTTTCGGGAACCATGGAGAGAACAAATTATTTCGAGGTTTTGATTCCATTGATTGATTTCCTTTGAGAATGATCAATTGATGCTTTCCATCTGAATCAATGGCACCCAAATCACAACAGATTTTCACCGTAGACACGACGTCTCAAAGTTAACTTAGGTTGGGATAGCAGTATACATCCCCGTTAGGACCGTCAAAATTCATTTCCTTCCGGTTGCTGGATATCAATTGATGTAAGTTCTACACCTTTTCTCATCAAGCTTTAGCCAAAACCCCTAGTCCTTTAGCCTTGACCAGCATTCCTTTAGCCAAAACCTGAAATGCTTTAGCCCTGATCTGTAGTCCTTTAGCCTCGACGCACAAACTTGAGTCACGCCGAAGTAGGCGAGTCAGATCAAGAAGTGTCGGAAAATTCTGAAGTCAACGAACGCTGAAAAAAAATTATTTTCTACCAATTTTGATCTTGCAAAGCTTGCATAAGAAATAAGGTGAGGGGGTTGTACGCTGCATCACATGTTGACTGGAGAATGTTTAACCGATGTATCGTCAAACCATTTGAAACATCTCGTACGGCTTCAGTAATCTCCGTATAATATGCAATACTTCTGTGGGTATAAACCTCAAATGCAACACAAACGGTATCGTATTTTGCATTTCACAAACCCGTAAATAATTCAAAAGTGATGCTACAAAAAATAAATGCTTACTGTTTCGTATCTCCAATTAAAGAGAACTCCGTTCATGAGAGTTAGATACCCAAACATCTTGAGGATAATGAATACCACTCACAAAAATATACCACCCATAACTATCATTATCAGTTTATTAACGCTGTAACACGTAACACAACTACTACGGGGGAGGTTGAAGAATTACGGGTTTCGTCTATAGTTTGTTGGGAAACGGTATTCTAAAGGCGGTTTTTTGTGAACAGTGTTTACTATCATCGGATTGTCAATGCACCCATATCTCAAAAACGGAGTTCACTTCAAGTGACTATACGGAACGGTAAGCACATACCTCCTCGTCTCATCTTATTTCTTATCCAAGATTTGTAACATCAAAATTTGTAGAAAATAATTTTTTTTCAGCATTCGTTGACTTCAGATTTTTCCGATACTTCTTGATCTCACTCGCCTAATTCGACTTGAATAAAGTTTGTACGTCGAGGCTAAAGGACTACGGTTTTTGGCTAAAGCTTGATGGGAAAAGGTGTAGTTCACATAACTCTAACATAAATATGACGGGCAGTTATCCATGGTCCTAATTTAATCCTGAATTGTATGTTTGGTTTAGTAGATAACAATTTCTGTACGCCTCCACACTCATACCCAAGTGCAATAATCACAGTAACTTCGAAACGTGTGTTACCTGATTCAAAGCGGCAAATCCGAGCCGTCTCGTGTCTGGACCACAAATATTTCGTCGAATTACACGTTTGTTCTACGAATAATATCGATGTATGTCGGTTCAAAAGTTATGAACAACTAGCTGTGGTTGATGGATTTTCCCGACATTCCTTCCAATCCTGGTGTCAATATCTTTGCACCCGGTTATATTTTCTTGTTCTTACGTCGAGCACTTTAAACTGCTTGTTACTAATTTGCTTTCAAAAATGACCGGTCGATCTACAATGTATGACCTTGGTGATCAAGGCTGGTCTAACGAGTGCGGGGTAAATATTATTCACGATTGTATAACTGAACCCTAACACATCTGAGGTACGAGTGACTCATAAAATGTACGTGGTGAGCGACGGAATGCACATAAATGACTGCACTCATACAGGGGTTATTCACATTTCGCTCGGTAATGGTTTATATCATCATTATGATAACAAACCTGATCAATATGGGTAGTTTCGTTACCCAGATTGGGCAAAATACACGGTGGTTTTATTTCGCGTACTGCGTACACAGAGACATGAATCAACGCTGAGCTGTAAAGGATGCCCTCTTCGCTCATTTGATATCTCACAAAATCGATTGATCCTCATTATTTTCTATAGTTGTACTAAAGGGATGAGTGTGCAAATAGTTAACCGTAGAACAAACTAGCTGCGGTAGAAAATCTATCATGTTAGGGTTCTTGTGACGACCAGATTAACTTGTATGTTTACTGTTGATATCGAATACACTAGTAGTTATAACAACAGTAATCCTAGTTATTACGGATCGCAGATCACCTGACGTTGAAGTTCAAGACTTTGAAAAGTGAGACCTCAAGGAGATGATAACTAAGGTCCTCATTTCACGATCATTAACACTTGCAACATAGCAGCTCATCTTATGTCAGAGAATTTTTATCTACTGGGTTCCAGCTTGCTCAAGAGTTTTCTCAAGCAAAAACAGAAGTGATTCAAGTGGTATGCAATATACTTGCTCTTTATATGTGAGCGCCTGCGTTCGCTATCCTCTCTTGGACTAAAGGATTCGCGCTGCCCGTGCGGCTCAGCGGAATTGGAGACAGCTTTACATTGTTTTCTAGCTGTTCTGTTTGCCCCTTGTTTGCTCTAATCTTGCAAACTTTTCCAGAGAGCATTAGACATCAACTTACGTGTTCAGGTGAGCAGATCTTGGACACAGACGAACCTCACTGGTATAAGAACACTTTCACAGGTTGTCTGAGTTCGACAAATTTCAACCGGTGTCCCGGATGAGCAGCAAATAAGTAACTAAATCACTAGAAGCTGTTCTCATCAAACCCCGTGTCAACCGACTGCATTTTAAACAAACAACTTTGATTGGCTGAACAAATAATGTCTACTTATCATTGTCATGATGAAATCCAACAAATCATTGGCTTCGGTTATCGACCGAGCATGGACGTGAGGTATTTTCGTCCCAGTTTTGTTCTATTAATGGTGCTGATAAAACGTAAGGGTGAACGGACGGGTGGAAACATCTAGATTACCTAGGGTTTATTCGCCCGGCAAAGAAAAGGCGATTTGTTTGCTAAGCCACCAGGTTTAGGGTCTGGACACACTTGATTGTTTTGTTCAACAGGAACGTCAAGGGGGGCCGAAGTGGCGGATTGAAATAAACATAAATTTTTGGATTTTGTAGACAAACGCATTTTGTTTATCTCTTTAATCGTTGAAAGGGCACGAATGAAATGCTGTACAGAACATTTGCTGGGGATTGTGCCCATTACTTCCCTCACTTAATCCATCTGATTCCCGGTACTGAAAGTCACCAAACAATGGAAACATATGCCAATAGTCAAATATCATAAATCAGTGAACTGATTTTGTCTTCGGCGTACCAAATAAACCGGTTTTTGATGACAAACTTAAATGGCGGCAATTTAAAATCAGTTTAGGAGTAAACAAGAAGAATTTGAAAATGTTCGGGGAAATCGAATGGAACGCTTGATTGGATTTGTTCTACTTTACGATTCTGCGAATTTTATCTCCCGGTTGTTTGTAATCATCATGCTTCGAAAGAGACCAGGAAATTCAAGTTTAGACTATCAATGTACATACAAGAAAAAAATGAAAGGATTAAGCTTCGATATATTCAGGCAGAAGAAGCTGTTTTTCAAAGTTAGAAATACCTTAGTTTATGAACCAGAAAACACAGGCGCTCCAATTTTATAACGTAGCACTAAACGTGTGAAGAGCAACGAAGGTCATCGACTAAAGGGACTCCCTGTCGCCTAGCAATATTCATTCCGGATTAACGGTACTTTATGGTGACATCGTCCGTTATCCACCAGAATACCGGATACAGACTGCTTTTTGTTTGTTTAAATGAACGGTTCACTTTGAAAATTGTGCGGCCTAGTCCTTTTCTGGTCGCCTAAGTACCACCGCCCAATTTTCTCCTTCTTTCATCTACTCTATAGCAGCTCTTTTATAAGCCGCTTTTCCTTGCAGAAAACTGATTGTACAATTTTCTATGCAAAAAAGAGGAATTAAAAGAGCATATTAGAACAAGCTAAGAAAAATACAGAGATTCAATGGGGTTCGGTGGGTAAGGGAAATATTTGTCTCTCAGTTCGACAAGGGACACTTGGCGTGACGCAAGCAATACCACAATAACAACAATTTGATCACCTGATGTGTTTTGAGTGAGATGAAACGGTGCAGAACGATGAATAAATTGTCTTTCTTTGTAATTGCTTAATCTACTAATATCATGATATAAAGAAGGCTCTGATGAGTCCGTCTGATGACCGGAGTCCAGCAAATAACGGGTCAGTATCAGAATTCGTCCACATAATGCCCAAAACAATTTGAAAGAACACTTGTTCTTTCATGGTCGACACCACACACGATACAGTCAACCCCCCCCCCCGCCCCAGCGACCCCTAATGACCCGTACCAGTGCGCATTTGTGATGACCAAAGGGTGAGCAACATCCGGTCATGAAACTGGAATGTTGATTATTCCAACTTGTCATGATTTCTCCTCCGCACCTAATAAACAGTTTTATATATAAACTTTGATGTATTAGCCTGTAGAAGAACCATCGCAAACCAGCTTGTTTGCTAGTGTTCTATTTTACAATGTGTTTATATTCGAACAAATAAAGAGTGACTGAACGGAAAGCAGGTTTTTTGCGTAAAGAGTACGATTCTTGTGGGCCATATTCGTGCGTCCTGGATAATAAGTAGGATTTTGTTTAATTCTGTACAATTCTCAAGTTCTGCATCTACTTTCAAACTGGCTTTTTATTCAGTACGAAAAAAAAAACATAGATCTAGTTTCCAGTTGGAACGAATGCGATCCATACCACGACAAAGTGCAAAAAATACATCCGGGATCGCTTCGGATATTAGGCGGTTTCTTTCGCTCAAATTAAATATGAGAAATCTTTAAGTAAACTACTTTTAACATAATTCTTATTATTATTATTAGTTTCATGTACTTTTATCCCAGAGCTGAAAAGCAAGGCACTGGGAATTTTCATTGTACAACTAGGTGAGGATGAAACTAATGGAACTATTTTCTCTCATTTCACACTGACAGATATTGCACCACAAGGAGTCGCCCTCGCGCACACCCCATGTAAGTTTTCTATCACCCCCGTCGGGGTACATAGACGTATTTTGTGGAGGGTCTGTCTGTACACAATTATTCTAATCCATTGACTACTGATCACCAGTTGGACCGGTCAAGACAGTCTGTAGAGTGTCCCTATTGGTATAACTATTTCACTAAAACAGATGAGGATACACGGTTCGGACTGTTCTTGGACTAATTCAATCAAAACTTGTCAAGTGATGTGAACCAAACTGGAAGTTGTTGTCATCATTCATTGTTGTGAAACAATTTCTAGACGTCTAGCTCTGAACCATCCCAACCCCAAGTATTCTGTCTCTCACATGTGTTTGTGCATTCTCTCATTGGCTAAACCTGGGTAGATAGAGAGACTTGGATGATTCTGTGGCAGCTTATACTCATAGTTCTGTCAGAGTAGTCTAAAGGTGACCAATCGCTATTTGGAATCATTTCAACCTGTTTAACAGTTCTGTCCAGTGCAGTAATGGGCAAAATCAAAGAAGTGACAACAGCAGATTTTATGCCACAGCACTCATCACTTGAAATAGTAAATATCCCCTACCAAGAATAAACAATTTCGTGGTTTTCTGGGAAGATACCAGTCAGTCTGAGGGTGCAAATTTGGTCTTTACAAGAATCTAAATACCACAAGCAAAATATCAAAGGATTAGCATTGTTTTGCAATCACCAACTGGATTATTTGTCCAGAGCGTTTTATTCAAGAAGTTGAGGTAGAAGAACAGAAGAGGTATGGCTGCTGGGAGCGCCCAGTGTCAGTTCCGAGTTCCGTAGCCAACGAAATGGAACACAGGAATAATAACAATAAAAAAATGGACAAAGCCAATTTGTACAGCTGAATCAAAGTTAATGGGAATAGTGTAGAATGACAGTTACCATGTTGAAACCTGCTTCGGTTTCGGTTACTGTCATTTAACTAACCATCTGATTCACCCAGTGCAGTTGAAAACAAGTACAGATATGAAATGCGAGAAGTGAATGCTTGAGTGCTGTTGCACACGGTTTTCTAATCTCTGAAGAGGCTTTCATCAAGTTCCCCAACCCGGAAGCCCAATGCCAGGTTAGTGATCAAGCTCAATGGTTAAATGTGTCGTACNTGATCATAATCCGAATGCCCCTCACTTTGTCCAATTCTATCCCGTTCCAAGAAAATTCATGCAGTGGCATTCGCATGTAACCCATGCCCACGTAACCAGTAGTTACACAAAGGAATTAATATGTCGGAGATCTAAGACCCGGGCGAAACGAAGGAAACGGAATTACTGTGACCCAAAAACAAGGACAGTGCATTGTTTGTATGTTGATCGGCTTGAAATGGAACAAAAATACTATTTTACGTGTAACATGATTACTGATTACAATCAGTTATATACTATAACGTATGAAGATAAATGTGCACATTGGGAGAAAGGGATAAAATGTACAGCCGCAAATATGCCAACAAGATTATCGATGACTGACTGTCACTAAGCCCAGGATGCTCACAATCACAAAAGTTTGAACCCCAGTCCTATTATTGCGTGTGCGTATATGGGCAGGAGGACGGTGTAACGTCCGGGAGGGGGTATATGGAAATCTATAGACAGTTTTTATTGATTTCTATGTGAAATCTCTCGCTCGCGATAGCTCTCTCTCTCACGCTCTCCCCGAACTGGGTCGTTTGAATCGGGAGACCGAAATCGTCATCTTAATGAATCCTTACCAATTGAAATTGTGCAAGACTTTATCGGAACAGGTGCAGTCAGCTGGAAATAGTAAAACGGTGTGTGCGTCTCTGCGGGTGGGCGTTGGGAAATCCGAAAATTCCACGGGATTCAAAATATATTACTATCCATGGAAACAGAGACAGAGAGATAAACAGATCAACCGTTGATGCATTCCTACCTTCCGTTCTTCGGTTACCATGAAGGAGGGGGAAGAAGTGCAAACATTTCATGGATCATATGACCCACAGACACATGGAATACAACTCCACGCGTCTATCCAGATGCAGTAAAGAATGCTTTCGCATAAAAAGTAATCGCTCGTTCACTATCGTGATTTGTATAACAAAATGATCGTTACCAATTGGGAAGTCATTTTTTTTCTTTTCGTACTCCCTAATGTCCCAAGAATTGGATTTTCAGTATTTCTGACACCGACTGTGCTTTTCATTTACCCATAAATCAGTGGATATACACTGTTCACCGTGTCACGCGAACAAGGAAAGGATTCGGTTGAAAAAATTCTGTCGCAAAGATGCAGGTAAACCATGTTTTCTGGATACTATTTTCCATTCTTAAGTCAAAATTTCTTTACTCTCACACCTCAGAAAAAGAACAGAGTTTCTTGGTAGATGAAAGATCGCTATTCAGAGGGGCCCGGGCATTATTCGATAGAACCCGCGCCCTACTGATTTTGCAGTTTCTTCGGTAAAAAACAGTACTTTGGTCTGTCTTTTCATTCACGTCAGCACCCCTCCAACTCACTACAGTTCAAACGACTGGAACTGAACGGCCATAAATCTGTGCAAGATGTCTGTATGCACTCGAATAACACATGATCAGGAGAATAAGTATTGCCAACATTCCTAAATATGCCACTTCAACTTTTGGAACGTCAAACCGAGGGTACAGAGCGAGACTGGTTATACCCCAAATAATTGCGTTGTGTGGTGAAAATTGGCGAGGTGTCGCTGCAACGATGAACGTGATAAGTGATGGATTTTACCCGCTTGTGTAGATTGCGCCTGTATGGATGTAGGCCACAGGGTTTTCTCTCTAGTTCAACAGGTCAGGGGTCAAGTGTTTTCTTCCTGTGACGGCCAGTATTGGATTTCGGACTTATTCGGATCATTTACGGCGCTAGACAGCGCGGCTGAGGGTCTACGGGCTCAATATCAGCCTAGGATTTACTGTGACCAATGTCATTATACCGGCTCAGAATATAGCACATAAGCATCGGAATACACAGTTGACCAGGAAGGTAGTGTAATTCAAAAATTCTTCCCTATTCCTCAGGTTTTCTAAGAATGAAGCCTAGAATAAACATCGTAATTTAAAAACACTGTACTAGCGTGTTCAGTAATTTAAAAAAAAATATCTAGCCCGATCATGTGAATCCTAATTTCACTATTTAAAAATCCCGATAATAATCTTTGATACGCGATTCAGAATGAAATGAATCAAACCGCCATCTATTTCACATCGGGCTTAGAAAAGGTTACAGGCTTTACCGGTGACTCAACCGTTAACAGTATTGGAACACAAATAGAATCCATGACTGATGCGGCTGGTGCTGATTCATTCGGCCGTCATGTGATACTGCACACATTTTGCCATCTGCCACACCCTATTCGAGGGGGGCATATCAGCAATCAACTTTAACACCACGTCGAAATGTAGAGAAAAATGAACATTTGGGGGCTTTGAGGGGTTCTTGGTGTGAACACAGAAGGCAAGATATGAAATGCATCACGTTTGAAGCACGAATATCAGAGATTCCATGGGGAAAATTTAGCATACACTTTACGCGACAGAGAGATAACAACTCGTCACAGTAAGATCAAATATCAAACGAAACGAAACAAGAAACGTGTTTTACGGTCACAGTTATCGGTATGCTCCATAATTTGTGGTAGACTGGTAGCTCCCTCCGAACCCCGTGCAGTATTTTACCGTACTTTAGGATATAACCCACACCAATTACAACTGCCTGAGACCAAACACCGCACGCATACGTACTGGCTCACTGACACACGACGAACTAGCCGTGCAATCACTGTCATTGTTACCTCGCGCACATGTGTTAGCTGGTCAATGGATAGGATCGCCAGACTGACTTGTATGATTTCAACTCCACTCTGCTAGGTCCAAAGACAATCGGTGTTGAACGATAGATCGGGCATAGACAGTGAGACATTGGTACGTGATTGTGCGATCGACTGACCGTTAGCGCATGAATAGATGTTAGATAAGAGGTGAGAATCTAGGAACATGCAACGAAAGTGCAGATTTTAATTCCGTCCTTAAAGATGTAGAGGTTTATATGAAAGATAAAGCAGAGGATATCACGCAACTTAAGTTCTCAGGAAGGAATAGGATGGAAATAAAGTGGCGTGAACACTAAAAAACAGATACTTGATAAGATGATCTACCAATCAACCCGGTCTCTCTACTGGTAGAAGGATTTTCGAGAAAGAGGAGCAGATGACACAACCTCGGGGAAGCTAATATTGGTAAAACGGACACTGATGCGATTACACCATTATTTGCGATGTATTTCCAGTAGGGAATGCCGTCGATACAAGTGGGAGGAGGAGAAAGCACCAATCCCTATGTAACTACAGCGTTCATGAATGAAACGGATTCGGTCTTGGTGCAAAATTAGAGAATGTTCTAGGGTGCAGAAATAACTAGTATTATGGGCACTATAAGACTCCAAAGACAACATTCACGTGCATACATAGGGGACGAGAGTAAGCGAAAGAGGACCGCAAACGGAACAAAGAAGACAGTATCAGAATGTAGATAAGGAAGGAGAGTACTTTTGGTATAACTCCTATCCAGCTGGGTACCACCACTTGTTTTGCGGGCCTTCTGTGTTTCGCTAGTCCAGGCCCGCGACTTAGTTGATCGGTTTCCATGAATGAACAGTGCCTTATGACTTTGGAGTTTACCCAATCTGCTACTGATCACAAAAGTGTGCGAAAAAATGCGGTTGCTTGCGAAGGAATTTCATTGGAACTTAGTCACCTCTCGGATCAGAATTTATTTTTTTCAGAACTATGCAAAAATCAAATTTTTAAAATCTGTTGTTAGATTGAAAGACGGTCGTTAAACATCCTTTGAATATTTCAGGGTCACTACAAACAGCGCCTCAAGAGGTTCTGTTTAGTGTCACCAGGGTTAAATGCTGAGAGTTTAATGATATGGAGAAATAACGGGTGATTTGCGACAGTACGTAAAATATGGACCTATCCTATTTGCCTAAAAGCATAACAGTTGAATGTTTAGAATATTGTGTGCAAGAATTCTCAGTTCCTTCTTTGTTTATTCTATCGTTTTCGAGGGTTTTAGTTCCGGTTGGGAGTATTTCTCCGTACAGTCTGCGTCAAATGCTACAACGATTTCGATGTTTTCAGGCTTCTGTTACGGTAATGTCCGGTGGGTAGATCGAGTTGACCTTTATTGGACCAAACAACGACTATCTCGAAGTACCTCAACACAAGCAAACGTAACCGGATGGAGTTATCAAAATCAACTAACTAGGTCGCGATGGGAACAAATTTCGCAAGGTCACATAATAATTCACGCAAATCAACTTCTGTGATCACTAACAAACGTGAATCTCGTCGATACTCATTCAATCACTAAAAGCCTCCATTTCTTAAAACTGTTTACCCGCTTGCATAGCCGTCTTTGTCTCTGCTCGAGTAATGTTGCATCAGAGAACAGCTTCCGCCGCAGGCCAACTTGATCGGTCAAAGTATAAGACAGAAATTTACTCATTTAACGTTGAATTCATGCCTTAGTGCTCAATCGATCAAGTAACTGTTTATCAAAATTTCGTTGTATGTGCCCGATTGATTGTTCAACATACCATGGCGTCTTTGAATCTCGACAGCTAGTTCCGCGATAAAGTGGTTAGGTGGAACAAGGCAACAAATCAGTCTGATGATCCGGCCACTTGGTCAGTGCATTGCTTGTACGCAAGTTTGCAGTGAAAGTAAATCAACGACTGGTTCACCGTATCAACGGGCCAGCGCATATCCACGCGATCATAATCAGTGAATATCAGTGATTGAAGTATGTTAAAATGGTGCGTGCGCGATAAGTACGTGAAGCGGATAGCGTGACCGCCCTACCGTAAATTGTGAGATGTAACGTAGTTCGGAAAACTGATTTCCTTGTTCAGGTGAGGCAATGTGGTGTGGGTTATTGATGGTCAAATGAGAAACAATCAAGTAGATGAAAGGTAAAACGGTCTTCTGTTTGCGTTTATAATCTTCCAAATTATATGTCCCAAGACCAATAATTGGAACAGCCCATAGGCGTTCTTCTTTTTTCTAAGGATACAATGATAGACGCATCTTTGGGGACGGAGGTGGCTTGAGCATCAAGAATCTTGTAGGTTCCCGGAATAATAAGTGTTTGCTTATAACATTTCAAACACATCCACATTACGTTGTTTGCAGCCATTCCGGTGTTCTGAAACTCCATTATCTAGATGTCGTGCAGTTCTGACGGTATACCTGGATATACAGGTATAATCAAAACCGTGGATAACGTATCAGTTGAAAAATAGAGCCGGATCGTTCCTACGGATATTGAATTTTTCTTCCATTGAACAAGGTCATGATGATTTCTATGCTGAGTCAAAACTTGTCAAGTACAGATGTGTTACTCACCAGGCAACCTAACGATAAACCTTCCTTGATGTGCCATCTCGACGTTAGATAACTTTCATTTTCCCATAATACATAACACAATCTTCGGCTTGTGTTTCATTGTGATAATCAAATGAACCACGAAATCCATTCCATATAATCACTAAAATTGTATTGCACCTACCATCGTTCGTTTTGTTTAACTTTCATCTAACTGAAAAGTATATTGTTCCGCCGTATCAAAAGTATACTAACCTCGCTGACTGTACCTCTGAGATGCGAATTAAATGTCTATGCACAAAACATTTCGTATCCTAATGTCGATATTTTCAAAACTGAAAATAAATGGCAATCTTTGAAGTGGAAAAATCAGCAATGACCTTGCAAGTACGGTTACAACGGATTCGTGATTATTTCAGAGAAAGTAATAAAAACTTCAGGGGTAAAAAGGTGAGTTCCAGTTTTTTTCAAAGTGCATTTGGAAAGCAGAGTTTAGTTCTGTTTAGAGACACATAACTTGATCATTTACAGAGTGACCATTTGAATGTCTTATCGCTGTCACAATGGTAGCCAGTGCATAGATGCACACGCGCATGCCTGGGGTAGAGCGACTGGATGTGCGCATCGTTGCGCACCGCAGAACAGTTCAAACAACCATTAAGCTTCCACTTTCGTCCGGTGGATTCGGTTGCTGTTTCTTTAAAACCAGCTTTTTTGGAGAAGTAAGTAGAGTGAGGGATACGAAAGTCTGAAGCAGTACCACCGTCAAGATATAGCATGCAGTGAAACTATATTTGCCCAGAAAGTGAATGCATCTAAACGGGAATGACATTGATTTCAGGGAGTCTAACGCAACCTACATAACCAAGTCTCCCGGTTCGCTGTGAAAAACTTTGTAGCAATTAATTGAAAGAGCTATATGTAGAAGTTATTTTTATTTTTAGGCGAACTTGATCGGCACCTGCATGAGCACGCTGAATAAGAAGCGACTGTTTCTCTGTTGCTGTTGACCATCAATGAATGGGTCATCAAGTGGTCGATAGTATAGTTGTTCCTTGAATCTGGAAGCTAGTCAAAAAGCGAGCACTTCACCCGGACGGTCAGCGCAATCCCGAAACGGTGAAACCACAGGCGAAAGATATCGAGTTGCTAAAACAGTAATTTGTGAGGAGAAGAACATGGAGTAACAATCGAATTGGGATTTTCATGTATGGAGACAGGATCCGTCTGCATTAAAGGCTTCAAATGTTCTAGCTACGACAGCTGGTTATTCCATCTGATATCGGTTTGATCAACCCCATTGCTTCTAATTTACACATCTTACTAGTCAAACGATGAGGGAAGTCAACCGAAGATATTTTGGAGAAAAGAGCCACAGGAATGAGGAAGATATATCCAAAATGGCGTCTGAGACCTTAAGGGACAACGTACGTCGCGGTAGTTCAAACCGATGAGATGGATTCAAATTTTTCCTTTGAAGCTAAATTCTTATTTGTGTGTTCAAATTATGACCCTTGCTGTGTCACAGAACAAATGCTATCGGGTCATCAGGACCGATCGAAGTAGAATTCTGCAATGTTGTATGTGGGACAGAGTTGAACAAATTGTGATCCATTCACCTCCTGCTCTCCGATACCATTTCTAAATCTGGTTTTTGATAAGCATCCAAATGCGCACGATTTGACATTGCGATATTAAGTCCCCACACTGGACCACCGGTGAATCCGTCATGGTATGTGATAGTATGTGCTGGTAAGTCAATTGTTTCATTAGACCATCCGATTTCCAGGCCTCATTTCGATCGGATTTCATGTTTCCCATCCTCTAGCAAGCGCACAGAATACTTACTGGTAGTATGTTTTTCCGCAAAGCATGGAACTGTTACAGTGGGATAATCTGAGAGGTGTTATAAGTTACAACTACTAAAAAATTCAAACACAACGAACGAATGATATTGAAAAATTTGTGCTTGTACTCATAATTTCAGATATAAAAGGGAATGTTTGGATTAATCACTAAAAGAAAGAATCAAAAGCGCATTCTCTTTGAAGATTTTTGGCCAATTCAATTACCAGGATGTGATAGTAACATCCGGTGAGTGTGTGCGAACAGTTGCACGGTTGGAACGGAGTCAAGCACTAGGCACAGCTGCGATTATCAAATCCGGATTTTCACCCTGCAGGTGAATAAAATGGTGGACAATGCACTTCAAATACTGAAACCTGACTAGAGTAGCTCAAATACAGTGAAAGGTCGGCTCTTGTTCGTCTTTTCGGCTAGATTTTGCGGTATGATGGAAGTAAAATTAAAAATAATTGTTACCGAACAACTCAATAAAAGGGGTGACAGACAAGAGACTGTCCGAACAGAAATCTAGTATAAAAATCATGAGCACTGATTCGCCGTTAGTAAGACTAGTTGGCAGTAGGTACTATTAGTTCATCCCAGCTGAGACTCAAATGTTCGAGTCCCATTAGAGAGTTGAAAGTAGTATGCACTGTTTTATTCCTAGCATCGATCGTTGGCCGATGATCGTGAAATACCGGAGAGAATATAAAGCGCACTGACATATGGGAATTGACCGAACACCAAAAGAGTGAAGCCTAAACCGGAAAACAATGCACCGACCGTTGGTTGAATCGGTGAATTCAAGATTCCCAGCAAAATGTAATCAATACCAAATCTATCACATGAAAACAAAAGTAAGATGATACTTTATTAGGGAGTTATGCAAGTATCGAAAGATGGCTTTAGTGATGAGTTGGATGCAACTCAAGGAATCCAGCTTGTAAAACGGAATCAGTGATTGGGTGCAACAGGTTGGCTCGTCATGAAATCACTCAGCGAGATGCAATTTTGGTGGTATAACACTTCGCTATAACCCCCAGCTCATATCGGAGTCTTTCACGATTTTCCCCCGCCTCTAAATTCTCTCACGTTTTAGGGTTGGCAATTATCACAATCGATCAGTGAGTTCAAGGGGACTGTGCTGTCCACCCTCTCCACAGCTCCTCGCACAATGATGTCCTTTGAAAATGAGGGTTTGTAACAAAACAGAAAACACCATATATCACATAGGATATTTTGATAAAATAACAGGTTGCTTTGAAGAAAAAGTGCTCAAGGACTGGCATAAGGTAATCAGTACCGATGTTTTACGTAAATTTCTGTGACAAGAATCACTTTGATCTCTCTCTCTCTCTGGCTTCACACATTATTCAGTGTTCCAGGCCAGTTTCAAATCACGTGAGTTGCACGGGACAATGGCACGATTCGAAATGCAAGTGATCCAAATTTGGCGATTGAATCGACAACCAATGATCAATTCAAAGGTAATCTACTGGCCGAACGCCAAGCCCGATTCCGCAAAAGACAACGACCTAATGGGAGCGGATGTCGAGCAGCAGTCAACACGAACACTTATCCCTGTATGGGTTCATCTGAACGAGCTACGTTGCAAATGTCCCGAGATTGAATTGGGTATCAATTATCTAGTGGTCACCGATTTCGAGGGCTATACACACGAAGGACGAATGGAACTTCGGTTCACCCCGAAAACAGCCCTTCTACCTTGGCGATCGTCGTGGAAACGTAGACTAATGCGATTCCGACGACGACAAAATCGCGGCGCGTGCGATCGATACAGAGATTCGGGGAAGTTACGCAACCGGTTGACACGCACCAGTCAACGAAATTCTGCAGCCGGGAACTGGCATCTGACATCTTTGAACCGACCAGAGACCAGATTCGGACTACGAGATAACTATGCAAATCCACCTACATTATCCGCGCATCGATCTTACAATCAGTTCTATCCAAGAAAATGGCACTATCCACCGTTATAAGCCCATCTCTCGAGCCTTGTTTAAAATCATAAGTGTAAAAAAGGACTCTCACCACGGGGTCATCATTTAACACGGATGAATCACTGTGTATAGTAACACTCACTCACGTTTGACCCATTCGGCTGCCGGTAAAGAAACTTTGACCCCACCCCTTCCGTCCCTCTGAATTTTTTTTTCTTCTCCTTTTTTTGCTGACAAATATTACTGTCATTTTTTTTTTCGGGATCATAAATTCAGTATAGCCTGTACACAAATTCCCACACTATCAGTCGATCAATTTGGGATCGAGATGAGAGCAGATAGAAGAGTGTTGAATGGAGACATTGATCCGAATGCAGTAAATAATAGCTAGATTGAATCAAATTTCCGACATTAGACTCACCACATCGGGAGCACAATGATCTGTACGTTTTCCGTAGCAATTGCTGGTAAAAACGAACAGCATTTCACAAAACTGAGATATCATACTGTTATGGGCACGGTTTGAACACATCTCTCAAGGTTGGATTAGTGTCATGATTGAGATGAATGACTAAGGGAATCTGTGTTCAGACCGTTGAATCGGTGTTCGGACAGTAGACCCCGCAACATCCGTGGCGCAGGTCTAAACATCTAACGAAATAAAGAGAAAAATGCAGTGAAAGCAGCACCTGACGCGTTCAAGTTTATTGGAAAATTTTCAGTAGTACACATGTGCATCAGACTGACATACCTGCCAAACCGAAGACCAATGTCACGCTACACACTTTATTGCCGAGAAACTGATTACGTCTTACCCGTAAAATATCTTAGGTGACTTGTTTTGGTGTTATTGTCATGAAGTGATTGACC